TGTCTATAAATACACCATACTGACTATATATACACCATACTGGCTGTTTATACACCATACTGTCTATAAATACACCATACTGGCTGTATGGTGTATCTGTATTGTGCTCTTCTATCTACACAGTGCTCCAGGTTTACTACAGAGCTATTGTTGTTACATAACACTGTGTCTCTATAGGCTGCAGCACAGAACAGCATATGTTCCTCCTGATGATGCTCAGAGTCAATCATGCGTCACCGCTGTCCTAAATCTCTTCCATTCATAACTACTGCAAAGTGTTTATTATTGTTATTCACTCGCACTGAATCTAATGAAACAAGCCGACAAACTAAAGTACTTTATCTGAGTTGGTGAACGATGTGTATCCTGTGACTGGATGCAAAAACGCTGCTGTTACTGTTAATACACTATATGCAAACATGCACTTAAGAAAAACATATATATGACAATAGATGTACTGTAAAGACATTTACAGATCAGTAGAATACAGTACATTGATTTAATACAAGCTAAACAAAGAAGAGCAAAAATCTAAAATCCTAAAAATATGGTACATTAAAAGCCAAACAAGATATAAGCTTTAGTGTTACTGTTGTAGTGAAAGAGGTCTTCCCTCACACGGGGTCACAGACTCCTCGCTCTGTCATGGATGAAAAAAATACCTCGTGAAATTGAGAAAGCTTGAGAAATTCTACATTTTAAAATAGATTTTGTAAAATAGATTTTCCACGTCAGACGTTAACCTTCTTCACCTCTGCATGCTTTTCTGTAACATAGGAGCACCAACCCAACCTTAAGATGACACATGATTACCATGGCAACTTTTACTATAGCACTCAGGCATGCAGGCACACACACACACACACGCACACACACACACCCACACACACACACACGCACACACACACACACACACACACACACTCACTGACATGTGTGTAGTTCATGTTGACCCAGAGAAGTAGTGACTCTTTGTGGGTTAACATCCTGTTAGTCCACCTGGTGTCAGTTTACAATGATCCACGTTCTGCGTGTTGATCGTTTAGTTTAGTTTCGACCTGAAACGATTCATTGATTGACAGGAAACTACAATCTATAATCTAAACTATTTCCACAGTTGAAGAATCATTTCAAGTCATCAATGATTCTTCATCTTCTAACTTGTTTGGACGTGCTGCAGGTTTCCTCTCATGTGACAGTGAACTGAACATCTTTCTAGTCTCATGAAACCCATCACAGCCCTCCACCCGACGCGGTTTTTGCAAATCTAGATTATCACGGCTTTGTATGCAGCAACAACAGCAACATCATTTAGAACATCATCCAAGAAGTAGTCACGTCCCGCGTGCACTCTGCAGACGAGGGCCGCTGAATGTGACGGGTTGTTCAGAGCTCGTGAGCGTGAGGAGGAGGTCTGGCGGACGGAGCCGTGCCGGCTGTGAGGAGCAGCTTGTTCCTGCTGAGCTCGGAGCTTTGCGTCACTCTGACCGACGCACAGAGAATAAGCTAAAGAGGAGCCACCCGTGACTTTATGAGAGTCATCACTTCATATATCAGTCTGCATCATATATCAGAAGTCTTTGGTAATGAGCAGGGTGATTCACGGTGAGCTTCAGCAATTTGGTGACGCAGAATTAGTAATTTCCTGCCGCCAGTGGTCTCCTGACAACAATAAGGACAGAAGGAGTAGTGGTGATGTCGTGAAGCAGCGTGGGATCATGGGAGTTGTTGTCTTTGCTGCAGTGAGCTGCTCACAGTTCTGATTCCTTCAGGGTTCATCGTTCAGGAGGTTTTTATCATCGCAGAGGTCTCCTCTGATTAAAACCGGTAGAAACGCTGAGTGAAGCAGCTTCATGTCAAAATATATCTGTGTTTCCGACTTCTGTCAAAGCTCTCAACAACATACAACGTATCTCAGCCAGATGTTTACATCAATTACTTTCATTAATCTACTCAATCAATACATCAGGGTGTCAGCCTCTGTCTGTACAATCAATGTGTTGATCACAGACTCAGACAGACATTTGTTTCTGTTTCTAATTTCTCTAAGTGCTCCAACAGACACTTAGTGAAATGTGGCACAAAATCCTCAAGGACACTCATGTCTCCTCTCTCTCTGTCTCTGTCTCTCTCTCTCTCTCTCTCTGTCTGTCTCTCTGTCCTTTGTCCTCTCTCTCTCTCTCTCTCCAGTCCTCATCTCATTTGTCTGCTTCTTTCCTCTCTCTGTTTATGCTGTTATGTGTTTTCTCTCTCTGTGAGGTTTGACCTTATTAAATATTGATATATCCAAAGTTGAGTGAAAGAAGAAAGATTTTTTCCCCCCAAATGTAAATTGAAGGACAGATTGCGGATCATATATGACATTTAAGTAAGTCATTGTATTTAAAGACACAGGTTTCTATTTAACAGAAGTATCTTTGTCTTATGTTTTATTATATTCCAGTCAATTTTTTTTACATTTGTAAAATCAATTATAATCACCTGACAATCACCTGATAATTGGATGCACACACATATTAGTTATTTATTTCCTTGTGAAAAAGGACAAACTTCTTAAGAAACCTGCAGTAAGATGCATCCATGGAGTTTAGGATATTTATATATATATATTAATATCTCTGCACTGTGACGTGACGACCACTGACTCTTCTCCGTTAACAGGCATGAATGCGGCGGTCCGGGCCGTCGTCCGGATGGGCATCTACGTGGAAGCCAAGGTCTACTTCATCCACGAGGTGAGACGTGACTCCAGACGTCACTGACGACACGGAGCTGAGTTATTACTGACGAGTCTTCATGATATAAAACCAAATATTGAATCAGAAAACGTTCCAATGAAAACACACGAGGAGGTTTTGGTTCCTCAGCACCAGTCAACATGGTGAGCACCAGAGACTGGCGACCGCAGTGAACGCTGTCGGTGTTTTAATGCAGGCTGGATCATCGGATGTGTAACGATTGGAGGTGAATGTGTCTGAACAGTTTCTGTCCTCAGAGGCCTTTTATTGTGCTGCTATCAGCAGAAGCTGTCATTCATTGTGATGTGCGGGAGCTTTGATAAGAACAGCTTTCATTGTGACGCGTTCTCAGTTATTTCACCTGCAGGAAGACGTCTCTGATGTTTCTTTTCATATTTCATCGGCTGATACAGAGTTCAGACTCCTGTCCTGTGTCCATGTCACGTTTTCTCCAGAGGGAATTTAACTTCCTGTCTCACTGCTGGAACTATTTAAACTCCTTATAAGGTCTGTTTATAGTCGTGACCGGCTGGTTTGCATTCAGGTAAACAAATGGTTGGTGTAGCTCGTAGTCTTTAGTTCGATGTGTTTGATGACGTACAGATCAGTGGTACATAGCTGTGACCTGTTATATATTTTAGCAATTTTCTTGTTTGATTTGGCTCGAATACAATCCATAAACTCCCAGAGAGTTTCTACATCTGTTAACTTATTGATTGTGTTCGGTAACTCTTACGTCTTTTGGTCATTTCAAAAGGAAACTTTCGTCATTCTGAGAATCTTTTCAGTTGTGCTCATTTGCATGTTTTTCTTTATTGCACCGTAGACCAGTTTTACATGACTGTCCCATCATGCATTTCTCAGACAGCTTCTCTCTTCCTATAGACAGTGAATAGGAAAAAATGTGAAGTGTTTGAAAATCCCATTTCCTATGCAACTCTGAGAGCATTGTCTCCGCCGGTGTCACACCACGCCCATCCGTAGATCGACTTATTATGATTCAACATCAGGAAAGAGCGACGTCACATCCCCGTTTCATTAACACCGTGTTCGGTTCTGAATGTCTGAGAGTATAAGTGCAGTTTGAATGCAGAGAGAGAGGATGTGGTCTCAGTGTGGGTATGATTGGATTACCAGAGGCCCACTTCACCCTCCACTGGCTGCTCTATGCTCATCATCAGCCTCCGACGGCCACTCGGCTGTGAGTAATGACAGCCGAGTGCCGTGACGCCGTCCTTTCCTCCGGCTGGTAGTTTGGATCAGCGTACACGAAACCGTGGGAAGAAAACAAACAGCGGAGCTTCAGAAGCATAACTAGTGAACGTAATAATATTTAGCTTCTCATGCTGTTGGTTATATTGTTTTCAAACGTGTTTCGTGATCAAACTACTTACAGGTTTATCAATTCGTTGACTGACTGATAACTGATTCATAATGTCAAGTCATTTATCAAGCAATGATGCTGAACATACTCTGAGTCCAGCTCCTGAAATGTGAGGATTTTTATTTTCTAATTTAATAGTTTTAGGTCTGATAAACATAAATTTGCAGACATCATTTTGTCTCTAGGAAATCACAACTTTGTGGGATTTTTTTTTAATAACATTTAGCTGCATCTGTTTACATATTAATGCTCAGGATGAGGATAAGGTGACCCACAGTCACGGTCACTGTTAACGTGTGTGTCCTGAATGACGTCTGTCTCTCCTCTCAGGGGTACCAGGGGATGGTGGACGGAGGAGACAACATCAAGGAGGCGACGTGGGAAAGCGTCTCCAGCATGTTGCAAGTGGTGAGTCGAGCTTCTTCTGCTGCTGGTCGAGGTCACACGCGCTCTCGCTAACAAGACTCCATCCTGTGTTAATGATGGAATCATCTTTAGCACCACAGAGTGCTGTGTGTAGATGCTTTGTGACTGAGGAGCAGCAGTGTTTGTGCTTCGGCCAACACGGTCGAATATTTGTGCTGAGTCGGTGGACGTCTGTGATGATCATTGGAGTCGACTCAGCAACGAGGCTTCTAGCCTTCAGCCAAATGAGTCTGTGATTAAATTCAACCTTCTCGCTCTTTGTTCACGTCGGACATTCATTGTTTCAAAGTGGATTATATTCAGTGCAACGGTGAACAAAGATTCATCTTGTAGAAAAGCAATATTATTAACAAGATAGATAGATAGAGAGAACAATGTGATCTCAGATTGTTCTTTGCGTCCCCCTCAGGGTGGCACAGTCATCGGCAGCGCCCGCTGCAAAGAGTTTCGTTCCCGCGGCGGCCGCTTGAAAGCCGCGCACAACCTGGTGCAGCACAGCATCACCAACCTGTGTGTGATCGGAGGAGACGGCAGCCTGACCGGAGCCAACCTGTTCAGGGAGGAGTGGAGCGGTCTGCTGGACGAGCTGGTCCAACAAGGTGATGGATCGATCACTGCAGGGCTTCAGGTTGACCTTATATGTTCTCATTGTTGCTGCAGCCCTTTGTCGTCTGCCTCTCTGTGGCGGGTCTGAAGATCTGCGGAGATTAGATAAATTAGTCCGCTGACGTACGGAAAAACAAAGAAACATGAGATGTGATGAGGCCTGCTGGTGGTCGCAGTGTAAACACACTCTGCAGCCTGCAGCTCAGTGTGTCCACCAGAGGAGGGAAATGAAACTAGAAGTCTCCTCAGTAAATCATCTGATGATCCTTTGATGGTTCTTTATTTGTGCTTCAGAACTTAACCGCCGTGAAGCGAAGCCAAACTTGACTTTAAGTGTCAAACAAAGAAAAATGCTCTCCCCTCGTTCCACAGAGTCCGACCCTCGATTTGGGACTAAAGTTTCATTAAAAGGTGCCTTGTCTCTGGGGAAAGCTGTCCAAAAGGAGGCTCATCTCTACAGGTGTGAAGAGAGTTCTCCCTCTCTCACGTCTCTCAGGTCTGATCGATAAGGAGGCGGCCCGCAGTAACTCGGAACTCCACATCGTCGGCATGGTCGGCTCCATCGACAACGACTTCTGCGGCACCGACATGACCATCGGCACCGACTCGGCGCTGCACAGGATCATCGAGGTGGTGGACGCCATCATGACCACGGCTCAGAGGTGAACGAATCCTGAGACGAGTACAGACCGTTCCAGCGGACCAGTCCAACGGGTTTCACTGAAATGTGCTTCTTCTTGTTCCTAACATTCCTTTTCACTGTGTTTCAGCCACCAGAGGACATTTGTGCTGGAGGTCATGGGCAGACACTGCGGGTAGGCTCCTCACTTTGTGTTCGAGTGCGACGCAGAGAGATTTAAACACCAAACACATGAGAACATGTAAAGAAGGAGGTTAAATATGCTGCTGTGCTCTCAGTCTCAATAACCAAACAAAGCCCATTCTGAATATCTATTGTCAAATTTAACTAAATCATCATTTTCTTCTGGATTACACACTTTTAGCTTTTAATAAGTCATGAGCTGGTAAAAACACTTTTATGTGGAGACGTCGATAAGTGTGGCCCGTGCATGTGTGTGTTCAGCCACACTATCTGTTACTGGGAAATAAAGATTCAAAGCAATGATTAAAATGTGTGTGTGTGTGTGTGTGTGTGTGTGTGTGTGTGTGTGTGTGTGCAGATACCTGGCCCTGGTCAGCGGTCTGGCATGCGGAGCGGACTGGGTTTTTATCCCTGAAATGCCTCCTGAAGACGGCTGGGAGGACAACATGTGTCAGAAACTGTCTGAGGTAACAAACACACACATACACACACACACACACACTAAAGTTTCACTGTCTCTAAATCAGTTGATATATGTGTGTGTGTAATACGTACATATAATACATAACATGGATACACATGCACTGTAGCAATACATTTTATTTACCTCAGCAACCTTTTTAGCTAAATGGTATTTAATGTTGTGTTTTCTGCACTTCAATGCCAGTTTTGGAACATATAATGAACGAAAAAGTAGTTTAATTGATGATATACTTCTTAAAAAAAAAAGAGAAAACATCATAGTTCATGAGTCTGTGGCCCCTTAGGTAATGATTTTTAGTTATTTTTCACAAAGCATCTTTTAACAGGTTTTCAGTGGGAGTTTGAAGTGAAGTTGTTATGGCCATAACTTCTGGACACAGGGAGAAATCGCCCCCCCCGACCCCTTCAGCCATGTGCTCTCAATCGCCTCCAAAACACAACAGCAGGTTAAAGTAAAAATCAAATGGATTTATTATCCAAGAAGCATAAAAACAGATACAGACAGTTACAACCCGAATCACACCACTAATAACAAAACAAACCTATACATAAAATGAAATGTGAGATCCAATCCGAGCCACCCAGGAGGCTGGTCTGCCTCCTGGGTGGCCAGCAGAAGATCTGAAATCCCCCAGAGCTTCAAACTCTTTGTCTCCCCGAAGTCACATTCCTCAGCTCATTGATTGGCTGAAGTCCAACAAGCCCCTCCTCGGCCGATGCCCCATTGTTACTCTTAACACCTCAAGCAGCCACTTTCACACAACCCCCGCTCCAGCACATTCCTCAAACCCCCCTCTCACAGACACGTAATGCATGAAATGACCAGACTCCTACAAGAAAATAAACTGTATCACATTATATCCATAATTAGGAGCGCTTTAAAACTTAAATTCCTCACAAGTTCAGAGACTAAAAAAGTGTTTTGGTGTAAAAGAGCGACTCTGGTGGGACTCGAACCCACAGCCTTTGAATAACCTCTCATGTGTTACGCTAGAAGTCCAATGCGCTGTCCATTGCGCCACAGAGCCAGCTGCTTCATTATGTAAACACACACGCTCATATACTCACACAGAGAGCTCTCTCGCTCTCTCTCTCTCGCTCTCTCTCTCTCTCTCGCTCTCTCTCTCTCTCTCTCTCTCTCTCTCTCTCTCTCTCTCTCCAACAACTTGTATCAACAATATCTGCAGACATCTTAACTTGCTCACTTTCTTCTTTCAGGAAAACAACTAGAGTACCACATGAGTGGGTTGTTTGTCTCAACGTTTCTCATATACACATTACACACAGAGAGTCACAACATTTGTGCCTTCAGCTCAATCCCAACTCTTTCTGTAACCGCTGTACAAACGATCCCACTGGAATGCAGCATTAGTTTGATTTCTACAAAGAAACTGAGATACGCTGTTTTACACAGTAATGTAGCGACTCTTGTGAGATTTGAACCGACAATCTTTGAAACACATGTCAGGTGTTCAAATACAAGTCCAGCTGTATCTTTTTCCACGAGATACACAACAGAAGCTTGTTTGTGTTGAAGATTCAAGGACGGTCGATGTTTTAAACACGTAAAGCAGCGACTCCGGCGGGACTCGAACCCACAACCTTTGAATTGCATCTGTAATTATTGACTGGAAGTTCAATGCGTTAATGTTCCAGTTTTAAGAAAAGGTAGCTGCCACATCAGCTGCTTAATTAATATTAAGTAAATCTATAAATATTACACGTCACCGGTTAGTCAGCCGCCCTAATGTGGCATAAAAAGCTACTTCTTCACAGGAGGAACAAGTGCATGTCAGCAGCTGAAGGAACCTGTTATTAATACAAACATTTGGGTCTTCTCTCTGTATAACACTGCCTCTGTCGGGACTCGAACCCACAACCTTTGAATTGCATCTCTATTGTTTAGCTAGAAGTCCAGTGAGCTGTCCATTGCACAACAGAGCCTGATAATTAGTATGTTGACACACACAAATAAACAAACTAACTTATCAGATCATCGGATGTTTCAAAGAAAGATGTTACATATTTCATCACCTGATACTGACTGATGAAGTCTTCTAGAAGCTTTGATGTGGTGAGTGTGTTTGTTACCGTCCAGAGTCGATCTCGAGGTTCCAGGTTGAACATAATCATAGTTGCTGAAGGAGCCGTTGACAGACAAGGACAACCCATTACCAGTGGTTTAGTGAAGGACGTGAGTCGCGCTCAGTTTCAGACTGACGCAGAAGCTGGAGCAACTGGTGGATAGCAATACGTCTGAAGAGTTACAGTACAGCGTTTTCTGTGGTCCAGACACTTTTGGTGTGTTTATTAAGCCTCCAGTTTGCACCAATGTTCAATTTTGAAACCGTCAATAGTAGAAAATACACCAGAATGAGCTTCAACCACTACAAAATGTGAGAAAACACGAGTTAAACCTCAAACATTGGCCTCTTTCTGTGTCAGTGAAGGGTCGATATGATGTCCCTCAGTTTCACGCAGTTCCACCGACTGACAGTTGGTGGCAGGAATGTGCATTTGAGCGATCTGTAACTATATTATAAACATGCAAAGAAGAAGATTGGCAGCTAGCAAACAGGAAGTCCTTCAGTTATATTCAAAACATGTGCTTTCAAAATGTTTGATGAATAACTTGTTAGGCCCAGAGGAAACAAGCATATTGGTCAGAAACACTACGTCTAAACTCACTTTACTCACGTTTGTTAAGAATGAAACCCCATGTCGAATATTTAAGCTAACCTTTCTGTTTAATGTCCTTTTAATAATTATGTGTCACGTTTTAAGTCGATTCTACATCGGCCCTTCAGTTGCAAAACGTTTTCTGTCATGTTCTCAAATGTTTCTGCTTCTTTTGCATCCCTCTAGAACCGTGCTGATAAGAAAAGGCTGAACATTATCATCGTATCTGAGGGAGCCATAGATTCCCACAACAAGGCAATAACTCCTGATTACATCAAGGATGTAAGTACAGCGGAGTCACCGACCCACTGACTCTCCTTCAGAAGCTGTGTTTTATTCCCTTACATGGTGTCCTGTTGGTTTCCTTCAGAGCATGAACGCACACCAACACGTTTAATGTCCTATGTGTCACTGTTTATTGTTTCATGCAAGTTATTTCTTTACGTTTCTTTTCTAAAATGTCTTCTCCCTTTTATATGTCTTGATTCCGTATATATGTTGTGTCCCGTTGCTCCCTTATCTTTTCTGCATACACATTATTTGACAGGATTTGATATCATTGTACGCAGTTCCTTTATTGAGTGCTTAATCCTCTATCATCATTGGTTCTCCCTCCGTACCCAGCTGGTTGTACGCTGCCTGGGCCTTGACACCCGGGTCACCATCCTGGGCCACGTACAGAGAGGCGGGACCCCCTCTGCCTTTGACCGGATCCTGGTGAGTCACGATATCTTCTAATGCTTCTTGATGGAAAACAATGTGACGTGAAATGCTCTCCAGTCGTGAGATGATAAATCGTGAGGCCAAGTCAAAGCGATATTGTCCTTGCAGGCCAGTCGTATGGGCGTGGAGGCGGTGCTGGCGTTACTGGAGGTCTCTGCCACCACCCCGGCCTGCGTTGTGTCTCTGGTTGGCAACCAGGCAGTTCGACTTCCACTTATGGAGTGTGTTCATTTGGTAAGAGTGTGTGTGTGTGTGTGTGTGTGTGTGTGTGTCATGCAGAGAACACGTGTGCACTCTTGAGATTGCTCCATTACATGTGAGCCTTAAGTGTTTCTAATAACAGAGTATTAATCATTTGAAATTGTCTAAATGTTTTTAACATGTGGAGCTCTTCTGTGTCTCGTCATCAGACTCAGGAGGTGCAGAAGGCCATGGATGAGAAGAAGTTTGAAGAGGCAGTGAGACTGCGTGGCAGGTATTTTTGAACTTTAACTTCTTTCGATGTGATGAAACATCGGATTCAGGCTTGAATAAAGAGAGGTCTGTGTGTCCACCTGTTTCATCAGAGGTCCTGCGTGATGTACGAGATGTATTTCTTGTGTTTGCATTGTTTGTTGTTTGACTCGAAGCGGTTTCTCCTCAGCAGCAACAGAACTCATCCACTGTGTATTTTCTAATGTGCTCTGCAGTAGCTTTGAAAACAACCTGAGCACCTACCGACTCCTCTCCTACCGGAAACCAGATTCTGAGCTTCCAACTGTAAGTACTCGTTAAAACCAATAAGTACTAATGAAACAAACGATGATTATTTCAATCACGGCATTATCACAAATGTAATTCTTCCAATGTGTCTCTCCACCAGCGGCTCTGAGATTTGTACGGTAGCATAAGGTACTTCCTGGTCAGGTGCCTTGTGGGTGCTGCGGTCCTTTTTGTGACACGAACACACAGTCTGTTTTTCCTGTCCTGAGGGAGAGGAGGAGGATGAAGAGCAGTCTGACGTATGTGAGGAGTAGTGAGGCTGCAGCTAAGCCGGCTCTAGGTCTGCATAGTTCGCAGATCAGCTTTATAGCAACTAAAATAAGTAATTTTACCATATTGTGAAACAGACTTCATTCAGAGTTAACAGAAACTAAATAAAAGTCACCAAACCCGTCTTACTCAGTGGTTCCACTGTTCAAACAATCACCAACTCTGGTTAGGTCAAAATAAACCCTTAATTACCCGTTTTAGAATCCATGAAACAGCATGAAAAACAATTACATAAGAGTCTTTGGAGCAGAGCCAGATAGTTGTTGGACCCTGGTCAGAGCTGCCTGATGCTAAGCTATGATTGGCCAGTCTGCGTTCGAGGGGCGGGACCTAGCGAAGGGGAAGGAGGAATACTTTCAAGGCCTAATCTGTCATTCATTCCCTGCACACTGAATACCAATACCTTGGAGGCTGAGTGTATGAGGCTTGCATTCAAATGTGGGTCATGAACACACAACTTCATGGGCTTCACCTGAAGTTGCACTTTGATATTCAGGGTTGACAGTTGCCGTGCAGCAGTTTTAGATTATGTCCCAAAACATGTTATCCTCAGCAGCTAGTGGGATGGATGATTGGAGTTTGAATAGCATTGGATTCTCGGTGAAAGTCAATATTTTCATTGGTTGTCATGAGAAAGCAGCCGCTGCTTCGCTGCGTCTTTTAGCAGCATGTGGCTTCTTGCATGCGAGGTCGTCTTTGCCAGCTGCTGTTCTGCTCTGAGGCAAAGCCCTGCATGGCTCCTCAGCTCAGTTACTGAGACATGAATGATATCATCAGGCAGTGGGGACGGACTACTGTCCCGTCAGGCATGGGGAGCAATTCTTCTTTAATCTGCTAAATAATCCTGCGGGGATAAACTGGCCTACTTCACGTCTGCTGCAGAAATCACTGCTTGTCTTCCTTGCCTCTAACAGCCGCAGAGAAGCAATCTTCATCAACTCAAGCGTCATACATGCTGTGATTGTGCAGTGAATGTGTGACCATGTTTTAAAAGCTTATAACATTCGGCCAAACTGTGTGCTAGTGCCAGGTTTTGCTGTCTCCACTGTGTGTGTGTGTGTGTGTGACTGCTTCTCTCTTCATCCACAGAGCTCCTTTAACGTGGCCGTGCTAAACGTCGGCGCCCCGGCAGCCGGTATGAACGCCGCCGTGCGCGCTGCTGTCAGAGTGGGGATCACTGAAGGCCACAAAATGTTTGCGGTCAGCGACGGCTTCGAGGGTTTCTCCAAGGGACAGGTAAGAGTGAAGGGGACGCATGCAACTACGTGGTACGTAGTTATTCACCGTGTCACGGTTTGTGTCATTTAATCACTAATTGACGTGTCGTCTAAGTGTCAGAGGTATCGGCTTCTCAGACGCCAAAGCTGTCGTCTCAAAGAAAGCTCCAGTGCGAGAAGTTCATTCCCCTTAAATCAATATAACCGTCACGCTGTGTAAACTGTAGCTGTGAGTTACTGAAGTATGAACAGAATCTTATTCACCTGAACCGGACACCGCCGACAAGCCAACTTATCTTGAGGCGTGATTGGTCAGACCTCGCTGTCTCTCCTCACTCTGATAGAGAGATCTCTCTATCTTATTATTTAATGTATTACATCTGACGTCTGGATGCTGAGACTTTGGCCCCTGCACCCCTCAGTGATCCAGGAGCAAATCATCTATAAGCTCAGTTTAAACTATAGCGCTCATTAAGAGTAAGTGATGGATGTCAGCAGCATTCCTTGGAGGTCAAAGTGAATAATTGATGAGTAGCAGGAAGCAGGAAAGTGTCTTTCCCACGGCAGCTATACCATGCACACACACACACACACACACAGTCTGAACTATATATGATGGTGATAATGTGCTGCTGGTTCACATTACTTATTATTATTAATTATGACACCTTCCTGCTTTTCAAATCAGATCAAGGAGATCAAATGGGGAGATGTCGGTGGTTGGACCGGCCAAGGAGGCTCCCTGCTGGGGACTAAACGGTGAATATGAGAGTAAATGTGTGATCTGGAGCTGAAGTCATCAGTAGTGATTGTACTGTAGATATCGTCAGTGACTTTGGTTCTTTACATCGAGAGTGATGTTAACATATTGACCCATTTTCTTGCTCACTTCTCTCACATCATCCCTTGTTGTTGCTTCAGACTCGTGATATCTATCTTTAAACAACATATTAACAATTATTTCCTTTTTGTATATACTAGAACTCTTCCAGGGAAACATCTGGACAAGATAGCGGAGCAGATTAAGCTCCATAACATCAACGCTCTGCTGGTCATCGGAGGATTTGAGGTAAGAAAGAAGAACAAGCTGGTTCAATCCCTAAAAATATTATATTGTGACTGTTTTATAATTCAGTATAGCTCCTAATAATTCTATGAAAGCAGAAATCTTGAGTAATATTTTCATTGCTCAGCGATATTGTTCTTGTCGTACAGCGTTATTAAGAACTCTCTCTTTAAGTGCATTATGTTTTGTGTTTTTTAATGTTGCTGATTTCACTGATTTGAACATTTCAATATGCAAAACATGTCTCCATTTCTGCATAGCCACATTTTCAGAATACAATTCAGACACATTGAAATGTCATGAGCTCCCTCCTTGTCCGTCCACATTTGTCCGTTTTTACTTCATGGCCGAGCTGCAAAGCCAAAACCGTACATTTGGAACTATTTGGAAACCTGATACTAAAATATCTCAGAAATGGAACTTCCATCACAAATTTAAACAACGTTTTTTGAAATAAAACAAAACATTTATCAGTAAACTGTCTAACAATACAGAATACAGAGGTTTCTGTGCAGCTTGGTCAGATAGTGAACACTGTCTCCCTCCCTGTCTCTCTGTGTGTGGAGCTACAAACATCCTCTGTGTGTCTCTGTCCTCCCTGTGTGGCCTGGTGCTCTCTGCCTTTGGCTTCTCCCACCAGTACAGTCCTCCCCCGTCTGTCCTCCCCACCAGTACAGTCCTCCCCCGTCTGTCCTCCCCACCAGTACATTCCTCCCCCGTCTGTCCTCCCCACCAGTACAGTCCTCCCCCGTCTGTCCCACCTTTATGTCTTCTCTACATGATCCTCAACATTTAATGTGTTCGTACTGGAAAAGATGAAAGTAATATCAAAGATGTCAGTACGCTAAGTTAGCTTCTTGTGTTCTTGACAAACCCTACACCAGGATCTAGTTAAACACTCTCCCATGTCCTCTAGTCCTGGTAGAGACCTTGGCGTTAGGCCTCTTCCCTTTTCTCCCACACCTCATCCCTGTTGTCTGTACATCCTCAACGGCCACCAATAAGACGCTGGCTCTCACTGCTGCAGGCCTACGTGGGATTGCTGGAGCTCTCTGCTGCGCGGGACCAACATCCCGAGCTCTGCGTGCCCATGGTTATGGTCCCCGCCACCGTCTCCAACAACATACCCGGTTCAGACCTCTGCATCGGCTCAGACACCGCTCTGAATGCCATCACTGATGTAAGTTGTTTACAGTGATACTACGTGTGTGTTTGTAGTCAGGACGTAACGCGCTCACACCATCCGGTCTGTCAGAGTTTTGGGGCTTCGCTGATCCACAGCTCGCGTCCTCGCATCAACTCAACCATCAGAAGGTGGACTTCATTTAAGTTAAGACACTTCAGCAGAGGTTCACATGATGTTGACAAGAATATCTTCTGTCAATATTATTGCTGTAAAGTATCGATGGGCTGCAATATGTTCTGTGTAAACACAGGCAACCTGACACTCAGCAATGGAACCTGTAACTTGTGTCCTTAGACCTACACGGAGCGTACAGACTTAACCCTCCGCTTTCACACTAACAAAACCACATCATAGTGGTCGTTTATGATGCTGGTGCAGCACACAGAAGTATGAAGTATCAAATTCAGAATGGCAACACATCCTCAAACTTAAGAAAACTAAAAAACTGCTGGCAAGACATTGACATTTGTTTTGAATATCATTGAGTTTTATTTATTTATTTAAGTTTAATGAGGTAGATGTTGCAGCCACAGGGTCCTAGAGTTAAGGATGCACCGATCAGACTTCTTCCGTCCCGATAACGATACCGGGGTTTTAGGTATCAGCTGATAACAATGGGTCATTCTGCAGCATGATTCTTCTGGAGGAGCTCAATTATTTTACGTGTTTATATTTTGCCGCCCTTGAAACATTAGCTTCCCAGATATTTTCCGTATCCACATGACCTGTTGACATAGCAAACTGCTGACGTGTTTGTTGTTATCTCCGTCCTACCAGCGTGCTGCTCAGCCCTAAACATAGAACTGAATAGAAAAGATCTGCCCCATTGTCACCAATGTTGAGTCGGTATCGGCCCCGATATCGGTGCATCCTTACAACAGCAGAAAGTCACTCATGATTACCACAAAGGCTAATCGGGAGGATGAGACCACACACATCAGTGAAACCCTTGATGCTGGTGTTGTTGGAGGCGAGCTGGTCAGCGGAGGTCCCAGGTAAGTGCTCGTGCATGCAGTGACCTGTGTTGTGGCAGCTGCACGTGGCCCCGGCTGTGTTTGTTTGGGAAACAGCCGGTGAGCGGACGGGGATGTGTTTCAACGCTCAGTTAGCGCGCCTGGAGAGTAAGTCTGCATGCAGTCTAGGCATGAAGTCCAGCATCGCTGAATGCGGTCTACATTTAGTCTGGATATTATTTTGACTCCAGGCCCGGCCCTCTTTTACATTCATGTACGTAAAAGGAAGCATCGCCTCCGGCCTCTGGAGACTCACCGCAATCTTTATCTTTACGCGTCAACACCGCTCGGTGTCTGCCAGGGTTAACCCCCCCCCTTCCCATCTCCTCTCAGCCAAAGGCCCCATCACCTGGAGAGAGCCAGACTGCAGCGCACACACACACACACACACACACACACACACACACACACACACACAGCTGCATCTTCATGGTCTCAGTTTAATTCAAAGGACTCCCTTTACTTGTGTCCTTCAACATCGGTCTAGAAAAATAGAAATATGTTTTTATTAACTGGGAAAGCTCCTAAAACAGATTTAGATTATCGTTCACCAACTCCATTAAGGGAAAGATCTCCATTTATTTAAACCAACATCAGCTAAGTGGTTCACACACTCAGAGTTTATCTTTCAAATCTTCAAGAGTTCTCAGTTGTTGTGTAAATACTAGATGCTGTAGATGTTGGTGAAACAAAAAAACACCCCTGAAAACAAAGAAAAGTGACGGAAAAGTGCAGATTTCTTGCTTAGGAACTGCAAAGACAGTCCATGAATATGAGTCCATATTATATACTGTAAACAGTTAGTATGAAGCAGCACATTGTGTCACAGCTTCAGTTAGAAACCAACGAAGGGTTCAAGTCAAGGGAGCCTCTGTGCACCATGAAGCTGCCTGTTGAATCCCTGTAGTCTGCATCACAGAGGGACAGGGTCTCAGATGAGTAGTGTGCCCCCCCGGTGGTCTAACCTCATATCAGGGCCACCACCACCACCAGGCCTTTGAGTTTTTGCTGGAGCTGCACGAGGCCCAGGCCGCCTGCGAGGAGTTTAGCATCCCGATGTGCATGCTGCCTGCTACCATTAGTAACAATGTGTGCGGCACCGACCTCAGTATCGGCGCTGACACGGCTCTCGACACGGTCGTGGAGGTAAGGGCCAGTGGTGACGACACAAAACACCTGGAATATAACAGCCAGAGGCCTCCTGTAGTGTTGCATGTCTTAGAATAATGACGAGTAATAGTTCATGCTTCTGAAGATACAGTGAGAGTTTAAAACAAGCTATCTCAGCAGTAAAGCTAGAATCTGTGAGTGAACACAACTTCACTGATGCGACTCTTCTTAAAGCGTGGACTGTAAAGGTAACTGCATGTCTACTCAGTATTTTGTCTACTTAAGGAGAGCTGCAGCTGATCATTATCATTATTTAACTGTGTTGATTTATTGTTCAGTCTTTAGACATAAATCTATATTTCCATCAGTTTTCCACAGCCCAAAGTTCACATTTACAAGAATCCCAAAGTACTTTAGTTAATTTAATTTAAAATAGATAAAAGCAGGAAATCCCCACATTTGAGAAGTTATTGCAACAACTGTTTTATTAAACTATTGATATCAATACCTTATTATCTAAATGTCTTATTTCTTCTTGATTGCACATCAGATGGTTGTTTCAGCTCTACTCTGATGAACCAGTCTGTGATTTCTGCTCGTTAATAACTGAGTTCTGCGCGTGCAATGCAGACATGTGATCGCATCAAGCAGTCGGCCAGCGGCACCAAGCGGCGGGTCTTCATCATCGAGACCATGGGGGGCTACTGCGGCTACCTGGCCACCGTGGGCGGCCTGGCTGCAGGCGCCGACACCGTCTACATCTACGAGGAGCCGTTTGACATCCGGGACCTGCAGGTCAGAGACCAAGTCTGCTTTAAGTGTTTAGTGAAGAAGGCAACGTTAAAGGCAACTTAAAGGCTCGTATCTCCCTCCGATGTGTTCTTAATGTCTTTATGTTTCATAACCTTCATTTAACCTCAGCAGTAAACGTTAATGTAAATGTTTTCAAAGCCTCTGAGCTGCCGTCAGTTCATCGCTGCCTCTGCCTGGACGTTTCAGGAGTGTGCAGGTGACCCAGATATGATGGCAGTCGTGCTTATTAATAACCTCTGAGCTGCGTCACTCATTCCGTGACAGACAGATCCCATCAACACGCATCAGGTCGGGGGGGATTAGAGCCGTCGTTACTGTCGCACTGTTTTAAAATTAAACTTTGTTAGATTCTTTACAATTTACAGAGCAACTCCTCTACGCCTCAAATGGATGCCGACATCCTGACTTTATGTTCTGATGTTTCATTTTTATTTTAGTCTGGTACAGTTTAACGTCTTTTACTTTTATAATAGTTGTTTTTTAAATTGTAATGCCTTGTGTGAGCTACTTTCTACTCTACAAATAATAATATACAGTTAAGTGGCAACAGAAGATAAACTAAAAAATGTATTAGTAAAATAATTATTAATGTGTTGGTGTTATTCTACATTATGAATAGGCATTAGCCAACATAAAATGGGACTTAACTGAGAGTACATGTGTGTGGGGGGATACTATTTTAAAGCAGCTGTTCCATATCGTCACACTCTTCTATGTATTCTAATATAAAACCTTTTTTTTCTCCTAATGACATTTAAAAGATGAATGAATACGATGAAAGGAGCCCTGTACAACCTTCCTTATGCATTAAAACCAGTCTGGGCTTCATCAGAAGGGTACAAACAGCAGCTATGGGGCCCCCTGGTGGTGTAAATGTCACCCTGCACCCCTCTGTTCTAGGGGGGGGTGATGAGACTGCTGCTCGTGCATGTTGCAGGCTGCAGGACGCCGTCGCTCCGGTTGTAACGCGAGGCTTCGTTCTCTGTTTTCAGGCCAACGTGGAGCATCTGACGCAGAAGATGAAGACGAGCATCCAGAGAGGCTTAGTGCTCAGGTGAGTCAAATGTTACATTTCCACTGTTGTTTCCTTGCCGCACACATTATTTAACCTGTGTGTGTGTGTGTGTAGGATTGTAAAACTGTCTTTTGTTGGTAATACCTGTGTTTTGTCTTACAGAAAATAAGTATTTGTCTTCAATGAAATACCCGACATTTTAAAATGTCTTAGACAGCTAATGGACTGTACACACTTTACTTAGTGTCTTCTATTGTGGCTATTTTAAGTCCACTGCAGCATCACGCTGTTTAAAGTGCTCCCAGCAGGATGGAGGTCTGGGGAAGTAGGACACATGTAATATTGTGGACAGTGTGTAGGTGACATTGTGTGTCTTTGCTGAGGTTTGCACCTGCGTCAGTGGTGCATCCTAAGTGGCTCAAGGGCACTTGAGCAGTGGGGGGTGTCGAGAACAAACAGCTTGAGGACACTAGTTAGTTAGGCTGCTTAAAGGGCCGGTTCACCCAAAGGAGACTAAATACAGCCACATCTCTGTGTCGCTGTTCAAACGGACAATCCACAGATCACTCCACTGAACCTTCATGTGGGATTGTTTCTTTGGTAAAAAGTAGATCCAAAGAAAAGGGTTTACAGCAGCTCCTGACTTTATTTTAGTTTAGTTTATTCAGCGAGCCGACCCCTTTAACTAAGCTGTTGCCCTTTTAACGTGTGTTTCAGAAATGAGAACTCCAACGAGAACTTCACCACTGACTTCATCTACCAGCTGTACACTGAGGAGGGACGAGGAGTGTTCGACTGTAGGAAGAACATCCTCGGTCACATGCAGCAGGTCGGACGCACACGCACACACACACGTTGTTTTTTATTATGTATGCTGTATTTTTACCATTTGAAGTGAACAGATTTTGTTGCACTAATCATCACTGTGATCATTTTACATGTATAATACAAATATCCATTTTAATATTGTGATATTATTTTTCACAGCCTTGATTTAAATAGAGCAATATTTTCCTTCTTCACAGGGCGGAGCTCCATCACCATTTGATAGAAACTTTGGCACCAAAGTCGCTGCTAAAGCCATTCAGTGGATCACACAGACGCTCAAGGACTCTTACAAAGGAGGTAAGCTGCGACTCAGTAACGGTGTGTGTGCACGAGTGTGTGTGTGCACGAGTGTGTGTTTGGTTATAAAGGCTGAAGCGTGTCTTCATTGCAGGGCGAGTGTTTACTAACTCGGAGGACACCGCCTGCCTGTTGGGGATGCGTCGCAGAGCTCTGGTCTTTCAGCCGGTGTCACAACTCCGGGACGAGTCTGACTTTGTGTGAGTAACATTTTACAGTTTTCCTCTCGGTAGCATTACAGCTCCGTGATCCCCTTGCTGTTCAGAGATCAATCTAATCATAGTATAGATTCACAGCCCGGCTCAAAGGACAACAAAGAAGGGAGGAAACAGGAGACACACATGTGTGTTTGTCTCCTCAGCCACAGGATCCCTAAAGAGCAGTGGTGGCTGAAGCTCCGCCCACTGATGAAAATCCTGGCCAAGTACAAGACCAGCTACGACGTGTCCGACTCCGGCCAGCTGGAACACGTGACCCGCGTGCGACCCAAAGACGCCGACGCCTCGGCGGCCATCTGAGCCACGGCCCCCCCCCCCCGCTGCTGCCGGAGGAGGAGAGCTTCAACCCAACAAGCAGACATCTGTGACCGCTACTTACACAATCACCAATCGACGCGCTGATTGACTGCAAATACATTAAAGTAGATTTATCAAAGTTGTGTTGTACGGTGAAGTCGTGGGACTTATCAGAAGGGATCTTCTATTGTATTAAGATAACGACGGGGAAGAGTTAGATATCGACAGATTATGTTTGAGGGTGAATAGAGCTCAACAAGCAATCAGAGCTGATATTGTATTTTCCAGATTCCTAATCAAAGTTATTATAACCTTAAATATATATTGCCCTCCTTACTATGTACTGAATAGGTTTCAAGTTATTGTCCTGAAACTGTAGCTGTATCAAAATTAATTTTTAACCACCAAGTTGACTGAACACCCACGTGGTGTAGCTGCAGCGAGGCTGAGCCGGGTGATGTCCAGCTGCTGTTATGTGTTATTATTTCCTACAGCACTTTGAGCCCTTTAATCAATGTAAACCCATGAAGCTGCTTTTAAAGAGAGAATATATACACAAGGAGGATCACACGGTGTCGATCTAACGCCTGTTCACATCTTGAAAAACGTGTCTAACAACTTAATTGTAAAATGAAATGTGACCTACAGGAGGTGTAGTGGGCTGAGCTGGTCGTGTGTCCTATCACCTGCTAACTGTGTGTGTGTGTGTGTGTGTGTGTGTGTGTGTCCTATCACCTGCTAACTGTGTGTGGCGTTGCCTTATCCGTCTGTATCCGCCATGGGCTTTGTTTGTGGCATCTTTATAGATAGGGTTATGGAGTAGGGTCCTGTTGCTGTAGTTTGGCCGTGGAGTGGAGAATGTCTAACGACGTGTACGCAACATTAACTCAATGTGCTGGAAGTGTGATGTGTGTGTGTGTGTCCTGTCACAGCGTAATAAAGCATTTATCGTGTGGAAAGTTATGAAATTGTTTGTCAGTAACTTCTATTGATTGATAAATGAAAAATGTCATCATATGGTTTGTTGAAATAAGTCATAGTATAGCATATTGAAAGGATTGAGTTAATATGTCATGTCAAAATCAGAACCAGAATCAGATATGGTTTATTGCAAAGCATTTTTGAACATACAAGGAATTTTCCATGGGGATTGGTACTTAACAATATACACATTACAATAGTATGAAGACATAAACAAAAACATTACATTTTTCAATAGAACATGAACAATATACAAGGATGTTTAAAAAAAAAACACCGTTTGATGAGCCTGGCTGCAGTCGGGATGAAACCGTTGTTTTCCTTGAGGTGTTTCATACAGATTTTGTCCGGGGTGAGAGGGGTCAGTCACAATGCTTCTTGCCTGCCTCAGGGTCCTGGAGGCTGTGACCAGATGGTGATGAAGGAGGTGAGGATGGACTCTGTGTAGAAGTGCACCGTCATCGTCTTTGGCAGGTTGAACGTCTTCAGCTGCCGGAGAATGTGCATCCTCTGCTGAGCCTTCTTGATGGTGGAGAATGTTCTGCTCCCATTTGATGTCCTGGTGATGATTGTTCCCGAAGAACTCCACGAAGCCAACCATGGACTCACACAGTGGGATACGGGCAGGCTGGGCTGGGTACTTGCAGAAATCCACAACCATCTCTACAGTCTTTAGTGTTGAGCTCATCAATGACATAGTATAACATGTCGAAGGAAGTCAGTAAAAACTCATAGCATGTCGAAAAAAAAATCAACATAGAATAGTATGTTGAAAAAAGTCAGACTTTAGCATGTCAAAAGAATCACAAAAAGGTCCTAGTGTATGTCGAAATAAATCACGAAAAAAGTCAGTATAGCATGCCAAAAATAGTCGCTAAAAAGGTCATAGTATAGCATGCCAAAAATAGTCACTAAAAGGTCACAGTATAGCATGCCAAAAATAGTCACTAAAAGGTCATAGTATAGCATGCCAAAAAAAAAAAAAAAAAATCAAAATAAAAGAAATCATAGTATGGTATGTCATTAAAAAAAACTTGTTTATTTTACCAAAAAGTCAGTGTAGTATGTCAAAAAAATGTCAAAAGTAGAATATTCCATAGGAAGAAATTTAATCCCCATCCTAGTCTTAGTATAGCGTGGTTATACATAATCAAAAAATATATTTAAGGCCATAAAAATTCATATTGTAGATCAGAAAATGGACATAATATATCACATAAAAACGTTAGTGTAGTTTGTTATAAAATGTTAAAGTATTTTGTCTTACTTCAAACATTAAATAATGTCATTATTTGTAAATTTTATCTTCACTGCTGGTTTGAAGATTAGGTCTTACCTTTATTATTCATGATATTGTCCTGAATTGTCTAAAAGTTACATGATTTTTCTGGAACCACAAAGGAACACATGACCTGTATTACACTGCAGAAAACACACATTCCCCATTTGAAATCACCATCACAAAATAATAAAGAGCCGACTCAGATTTTGTTTTTCAATATGATACTGTAATGGTCATGTTTTCATTCATATGTACACAACATAATATATTAAAAGAAGTTTAATCTGAAGAATCAGATCATGATTACAACACAATTTTTGCCACCGTTTTTAAATAATCCCAACAAGAGCATTGCCTGCAGGTTCTCAGTACATCTCCAGTTAAGTTTAGTTATTAAATACCAGCTGCTCAGATTATTTTACAATCCATGAAGGATCTTTTTTAATTGTCTCGTTCTCTGGACCCAGGATGGCAACACCACACGTCCTCTGACCAACACCGAGGTACCTGCAGGAAAACAACACTCGTTTTATATTTCAACTCCATTTCATTCACAATCGTTAGAAATGACAATTCTAAAATGATGTTTAAACGTCACCTTTCGGCCACTTCCACCAGGCTTCTGTGACTGACGGCGAAGAGTCTCTCTCTGTGACTCTGCAGCATTTCATCCGTGATGCCACTGAGGAAGCGACCCATTCCTGCAACACGGAGACATGTTGAACAAACCAGTGACTAGAACCCACACCGCTTCAATTTAAAGACAAGCTGAACGAATGTATAACACGATGTTATCATTTGGAAGATAATTACACTTTTTAATCAACATTAAATGACACTCAACGGATTTGATTCAACACAGTGGGAGGCGGGGGGGGGGTCACACCTTTGCTTGCGGGGGCCACGGGTGAGTCGACAGCTGAGAAGACCGACAGTTTGGCTTCATCGATGTCCTGCTGGGTGAACTGTCCCGACTTGGCCCAGTCCACACCTTTACGAAATGCAGACAAGGTCTGCACCGAGTTCGGGTCACTGAGAGACGGACGAGACGGAAACGTGAGGCTCAACACACTGAAATGATCACCGTTTTATTTACCGATTATTTTCTCAATTCATTATACAACGTTAGTGTATTTCCACCTCCGTGCAACAGGTAACGTACAGTATTTGAGAGTGTTGAACCGCTGCCTACCTGTACGAGTAAAAGGTGAAAAGACCTCCTCCCATCCTGGCTTCGCCCCCGTAGGCTCCTCCCTTCTCCCGGATCTCTCCATGAAGAAATTTCACCGTCATCATCCTCCCCAAGATGCACAAACTGACAACGAGAGGAAACAAAAAGGCTTCAGACTGAGGATGTGCTTCGTTGTAATCACCACTAGGGTGTACAGGTGTTACGGGTGTTACGGGTGTTACAGGTGTTACGGGTTACCTGGCGTAGTCCTCGTGGGAGAACGGCGCCGTACGAATACTCTCGCTGACAAAGTTGACGGGGAACGGCAGCTGGAAGAACGTCTTCATCTGACACGGCTTGAAGTTCTGCTCCTGAAAAGTGAAGTTTAAGAGTAAAACACACCGTTTAATCCTGATTCAGCTTCGAGTTATTCATCATTAATAAAACAAGACTTTGAGAGTAGCAGGTGTTCTCATATAGTGAAGTTAAAGAGGTGACAATGTTATGTACACAACTAAGACATCATTGTATCATAATTGACACTTTAAACATGTATTCTGATACAGTTACTATAAACTAATTAGAGATTTGGTTACTGGCTACATTTAGTATAGTAAAGTGATGTAACTTGATTACTTTGTTAATTTTGGATATGTAAATAAAGACAAGAAACGCGAGTCTTTCCACGCTGTAATATATAAAGACGGTGCTCAGCAGGAATGAACTTACGGAGATGAGTTTCCTACTCGGTCCGGAGTCGTCCAGGGGGTCGAGCGGCCTCTTTAATGAAGCAAAGAAACATATATATATATATATTATATATTTATCTGATAAACATCTCAATACGACACATATTCTAACAGTTTGTTATCTTACCTCAATAATATTAGTTCTGACCGGTTTGCGAGCTTTTCTGTTGACGGCGACGTCCTTCATGAAACTCTCCAACTGCTCCGATGTGTCAGACATTTTCTGTGGAGTTGTGTTGACTGCACACCTGGTGGAAGAGATATTTTAATATAAGGTGAGAAGTATGCAGAGTGCACGATATACACTGAATACATTACAGCAACAGAGATCTAGAAACATAAAAACATGACGTCAGCAGGCGTCCTTTAATACAAACCCACCTCATGTTGTCCGGGTTAAGAATGTGTTTCTTGATTTTGGGTAATGTTCGGATGACCTTGTTGAGGTCGGACATCTCGGCTATCCTCTTCATGAACTTCACCTGAGGTTCAAATAAACAAAACAGCGGTTTCACAAACCGTTCACTCTGAGAAACTAAAGTAAATAATCTCTCTCGCATGTAAAGAGCGTTTTCTGCTCGGTACCTGTTTGATCCCACCGAACGTCTCGTGCAGTTCCCCTGCAGGAGTCAGGTGTCTTCCCGCGCGGGTCATTGCGTACCTGTGACCCGAGTAGGAGATGCCATTGGCCAACTCCTGCGCTGACATCATCACCAGCACTCTCAGGCGCTCCTCGTCGTTGAAGTGGGGGCTGGAAGAAAACATTCGCCAGTCAGAGTTTATGTCTCAGCATCCGAGAATGACGAAATCGTTTTTTTTCCCCTGTTTGTAGAGCTTGAACTCGTGTCTGTATCGTCTCCAGCTGCAAGTGACATGAAGCGCTGGAGGACATACCTGTTGAATATGTCGCTCCACAGCTGGAACATGTGAGGAAGGTTCCTCTCCAGGCAGGAGGAGTACAGGAGGACACCCTGAAGCACAGAGCACAGAGCCAATGAGAGACACTCTGCACACAATGAAGCAATAACTCACTAACTGCATATTGTGTTTTCTGAGAGGCAAAGGGTTGGGGATTATCCCAGCATGCACTAGGGTGAAATCAGGGACCCAAACCGGACTGATGGCCAGGTTTGGACATTAATAATTGTATTAATTTGTGTTGCAGCAGGACACCGCTATGTAATCAGCACACAGAGCACGACACCGACCTGCTCGTACATGTCCAGCTGGCTGGAGTCGGGGGTGACTTGGGGGGAGACGGACATGCCCCCGGTCCTCAGCTCCATCTGCTGGGACTGCTGCCTGTAGTCCAGAGCGCCACAGCCCATCCTACACGCACAAACAGAAAACACATCAAGTCTTTTTAATGTGCTTTGCATGCTGGGAAGCATTTACAGTCTGAATACACATAAAAGAAACAGTCTATCCGTCTCAATCTCACATATAATTAAAGGACACGGACTGCACAATCAAAAACAAATTCATTCCATCCTCCAACTAAATATTAAATAGCAACAAGTAGTACTTGCAACTTGAACACAATCGGTGAAACATAATGGATTCTACACGTCTGTGATCTCTGGTTCTTGATAGACTGACTCACTTGGTGATGACGCTGCAGAAGAGCGGCACGTAGAGCCAGAGGTCCTCTGGCAGAGTGTTGAGGCTGCACATGGCTCTGAAGTAAACCAAGCCGTTGGTCGGCTGCTCGCAGTACTGAACCGGAACGCCTCCTGTGGAGATCAGGAGAGGTTCAACCAAACGCTCTCGACGACGACGACAATAAACACCACGCAACACATCCTCTGCAGATGGGATGTGGACTGTAACGCTGTGGACACTGTACCGGACCTGCAGTGCTGATTTGAACAGGAGTGATGGGTATCGTGGGCTCGATGTCGGACACTTTGAGCGCAGGCAAACAGGAGGCATCCTGGGTTTGACTCTGAACAGCCAGCAGCCCCAGACCTTTCCAAGAAGAACAACACAGAATCAGAAGTTACAACAGTTCGATCAGATTCAAGTTAATGGACTAGAAATCCTACAACGAGAGATTCACCCACACAGACTGAGCAGCGAGGTAATCGTTACCGTTCTCGTAGATCTCTTTTCTGTCACCGTCAGACAGAGCCTGGATCTTCTTCTGGAGCTTCTCCTCCTCGGCCTTGGCCTGCTTCTCCAGGTAGGCCTCATCTGGGCTCATGGACAGGGTCAGTCTGTGAGTGTTCTCCTGCAGGGCCGATGGAGAGGGGGGGGGGGGTTAAAGAAGGAGAGAAAAGCATTCATTAGATGCTTAAATTCAACTAGAGGGCCTGAGGTAAAGCCGCTAGAGGCAGCTTCTACATTCACTCACCTTGAAGTAGTGCTTAACTTTGTCCTTCAGGAAGCGAGGGTTTTCCTTCAGGGCTTGTCTGAACTTGGCAACGCTGTCGCTGATCTGCAGCAGCTCCACCGGGTCGCCGTCATGGTTCCACGATGACGCGACGTACTAGAAACACAACAAAACTAAATGTCAACAGCGAGGAAACAAACACGTTAAAAAGAGCTTTTAAGGTTATAAATACACGTGGTGACCTTGTGGTTGTGAAAACAAAATGAAGGTTCCAGACAACCAGTGAACTCACCGAGGCCAGAGACAGGCCGAAGTTGGTGGACTGGTGCTTCATCTGGATCTCAATCCTATGGAGCAGAGCCTCGATTCTTTCCTCCTCAAAGCCGCCTCTGTGAGCAAGATGGCGACAATACTCCAGTTAATGAGATTTAAACTTTATTAATCCTGAAGGGAATTCATGTGCTGGAGTTTGACCAAAGATTACAACAGAAGAATAACAAAAAACAGAACAAATATACATATATGAACAATAGAGTTAGGATTATCAAGTGTAAAAGAAGTAATACTGACACCAGTGACTAATTATATTGCACATTGCTGTGGTACTCACTCTATGATGTCGTCGATGGTTTGGCTGATGATTCGTTTCACCCTCTCCGTGTCCTCCTCAGACATTCCCTGCAGTCCGATGCTGAACGACGCCTCCTTGGTGCTGCCGTCGTATCTGCACAACAGGACATTTCAACACGCTGCACATGAATACCAAGGACGCTGAACAGCACTAAGCACCACAAGAGGTCAAACACTTCAGGGGAAAATGTGCCATCCGTTTATGTGGATGTCCAAATGGGTGCCGATGATCAATGTTGTCGACTGAAGCAACAAATTCCTCAGTAATTGTCTGAGAAAGCAGAGTTTGCGGCTGAAAAATCTGTTGCTCTTCCTGCATCCCACAGATGAACTGATCCCATCTTATTATAATGCAGGTTTGCTGACGCGCTCACCCTACGACTGAAGAGAAGTCGGTTCCTATCTTGGGTTGAATGAGGGCCTTGTAGAAGGGAGAGTTTGGTCCGGAGATCATCAGCGATGACAGCAGGCTGAGAGTGAATCCTTCGAACGTGTCGGTGATGCTGCAGAAAGAAACCAGAAGAAGAGATCAGATGTTACTGAATAACAGAGCAGACTCAAGGCTTGACTGTTTAAAGAGAACTGTCTCTTTGTATCGAGGAAGAAACCCTTTGAAAAGCTGTCGACACAACGATACAAACAAGGGTCAGACAACATCAGGAGAAACACATTTATGAGATACAGCCGGAGTTAAGAGAGCAATGATGTGGTCTTACTCTCCCAGCAGGTAGCTCACACACAGCGTCTCCTGCCTGGCTGGATCTGGAGCCATAGCATCAGGGCTGCAGGTCACATGGTCTTCTCTCTGGGAAACCAATGAGGCTCACAGTGAGATCACACCGACTACTCAATGCATTTCATGTTTCTAATAATAAAACCATGCATGCAAGGGATAATTAAATACACGATGATGTGGATAGGAGCAGTTTTGTAGTCTCAAATACCCTCTCACCCTTCGTGTAATATATACATCCGTATTATGAACTTACGGGGCTGCTCCAGTGCGGCTGGGACGGGACCTCTGTGTTCGGGTTGATGCGTTCGAACTTGGACAGAGCTTCCTCTTCAATCTGCTCCAGGTGCTGCTCCAACGGCAGATCTCCATAAGTGAAGAACCTGAAGAGCGCATTGAGGAGTCTTCTTTAAACAAATATGTAAAATCTAAAAAGCCGCATGCTTTCTGCGAGTGAGCGTCGCTCTACCTGGCGTTGCTGGGGTGGTAATGTGTGGTGTGGAACTGTTTGAGCTGCTCCCAGGTGAGGTCTGGGATGTCTAGAGGCTCCCCACCCGACACCACCGAGTAGGTGTGGTCTGGAAACAGCTTGTTCTGGAGGTGCTGGGCGTACACGCGCTCGTTGTCCGACTGCAAGAACACACAAACACAAACTCACAAATTCATATTTCAGATTCTGCCACTGCTCACATCAAAAATAAATAACGTAAACACACTTTGACGTCGCACATGCTTCGTTTCTAAACCGTGGAGAGTGCCGTTTGTTGTGTGTACGTGTGGCGCTGTTTATGGTGCTGAAACGGAGCAGAGGTCATCGATAAACAGAAAAAAAGTTTGAGTTCGGTTTCTTAGCCCGCTGAGTGAGCGAGAGAAGCAAACAGCCGTTTCTACACGCCCTCCCCCTGCCGATTTAACGGAGAATCTCTCATAAATTAAAGATACATTCAGCGCTCTGCTAGTGCTAATATCGTGCTCATAATATATAATAAATATGAATGTCAGTAAGTGGGAACGTGTTGACTTACAAAAGCTCCCTTCATTTCATTGAACACCACTCCTTTAAACACCAGAGGGGAGCTGTGGTCTGTGGGGTTTTCATTCTCCAGCCTCCAGCCCTCCTGCCTGAGAACCCAAGACACACAAGAGTCAAACTAGACCGTTACAGACCTGCCAAGGGACAACTCCTAATGATTGGTCTGTTGACTGTCAGGCAATACACCGTTAAGAGACAAAACCACAACGGTTTACTCTGTGTCTGTACTTTATGAGATAAAACTGAGCAACTTCAGCATTGTAACTCACCAGAAATCCTGCTCTCGCAAACAAGGGAAGAAGACGGCATCCAGATAGACCGACAGAAGGTTCTGGAAGTCCTTCCCATTTTGTGTTGAGAACGGGTACATGGTGTAGTCACTGGCTGTTAATGAGGAAGCAAACAAACAAACAACCCATCCAAAAATGTTATCCGCCACTTAAGAAATAACCAAAAATGACATGGAAGTTGTTTTCTTTTATTTTGAAGCTGATAAAAATAATTGACAGCAGTTTAAATTCAATCAATCATATATTTGTGCATATAAACACTCATTTTCAATACTTATATGTAGTATATTTGGACATTTATCATAGTTATTTAATATAAAATGAATATGTGAATCCATATATTCTGGTCCATCGCAATAATGAGGGAAAAACAAAAACCTCTGTTCAACTAAAAACTAGATTATTTCCATGTAAATGCATTAAAACCTTTAAATCTCCAACTGACTAGATCCATAGTCCCCGATTCATTTTAAACTCACGATATTCATGTGAATATATGAGCGAACTCTTCCACAACTTCTCTCCTCACAGACTCGGCGGTCCCGTGGTGCATTCAGGTTAAACTTAAAGTTCTGTACCTGTGAACGCATTCATGAAGGTGGACAGCGACCTGTTGAGCATCTTGAAGAAAGGGTCTCTGCAGGGATACTTCTTAGATCCACAAAGCACCGTGTGCTCCAGGATGTGTGGGACCCCTGTGCTGTCCATGGGGGTCGTCCTGAACTGGACACTGAAACAAGTATAAGAGGCACTTGATCTATTTGTACAAGGATGTCCTGATACCAAGCTGGAGGAATATGATGCTGCTGTTGTATCAACAAACACATTTCAACGTCATGCTGCGGTTGAGTGTGACTGCTGGAACACGTTTCAACCAACCTGAAGAGGTTATTGGAGTCATCTCTGGCTGCATGGAGGTGCTGAGCTCCAGTTCTATCGTGGGTCAACTTCACTGCTGTGAGAAACAAGTCAGGGACCACTACAACCTGTGGGGGGAAAACAGAATCAGCAGCTAAAGTTACCACTTGTTTGATAGCAGTAGACGCTGCTTTTCACAACATGTCCTTTTACAAGGATACATTACTTTATGAGCCCTAAATGATGCTACTTTGAGTCGAGCTAAGTTCACCTCTCTGACTGTGAAGCCGTGGATCTTCTGTCCTGGTTGGTACCGACACGCTCTCTCTTTAGCCGAAGAGCTCTGCAGCCTCCACGTCTGCTGCGGATGACTGAAACTGGAAGAAGAGAGTTGAGAGCACAAAAGAATGATGAACAAACAAATGCAGATCTCATATCTCCACATTTCATAGCATTGACGACCTTAATAATGATGCTGGGGCTTTAATTAGAAGTTGCCTCTATTATGTTGAAGACCTAATGCAGCCACATAACTTCCATGTGGACCTGAGATTTAAAGATAAAAAAATATTCACTGTAAGAGTAGAAAATAAGGAATTGGGTAGATTTTTCATCTTTAAATACAGATAATGACTTTACACACAACATGCAAACACCTTTACATTAACTACTAGACACATTTCTTACAGGTCATGGACTGATAGGTAACATAATATGGTGTTACACCAATGTAGGCTCGTGTGGAAACTGCCACCGAAGTTGAATTTTAGTACCTATCCTTTTATTGTAAACCATTTCATTGAGAACCACAAAACCGTCACTGACCACTGGTGACTAAACATGCTATCCTATTAAAACACAGGTTAATATAAAGATAGAAACAGTAGCGTTAGCCACCGTTAGCTATCGCTAGCAGGTGCGTTCACGCTAACTTGCTGTAACACAACCGTTAAGCTAATTTACCTTAGATGTCGAAGTTTCTGGAGCACCGCCTTCGTTTGTCGAAACATGGCGTCGTTACAAAGTATGTAGACTCACAGTAGGGTCGGCTACAGAGAGTACACTAATTTAATCAAATGTTGTTAATAATGCCACATTGCTCAGGCTGTACATCGCGAGTCCTCTCTCATGCCGTGAGTAGTACGGTTGGACACATTTTATTGGATCAGTTGCGCAGATAAAAAAAATGGCCGCCGCACCTGCGCAGATCGCAGATCTGACAAACATTTTTCACTCCAGTTAAACCCATCCCACCGCATTGAAACTCTACCAATATTCGCTGAGCAACTTTCAACACCCGCAAGCGGAACTTCCACCTACAAACATGCTTGTTTTTGATTGGTCAAACTTTGAATGAAGAGCAGATATGATTGGCTAAACGCAAACAGCAGTAATATTACCAAACCTTGACTGATATGGGGAGTTTTTGAAGGGCAGCAATATTATAACCTGATTATAACACATATTTAGCACCAGCTTATGCCACACTTTTGTTTTTTTTAATTTACAGTGTAACGTTAATTCATTTAAAACTATCTCAAGATTTCATCTTCCACTATTTCCATTTAGTTGTACTTCAGTCTATCGTCCAGCAGGTGTCGCTGTAAGATCATATTTAGCAAAGTAAGTCACAAAAGTAGTTTGGTCAGTAACTTTTTTTGACACTTTATTTTCCTCAAAATGTTCCACTCTGGGCTCCCAAAGTAGAGAAAAGTGGGAAAACATGTTATGAAAGCTTAACTGAACAACCTTTATTGTGAAAAACAATCGTCCATATTTATTTCAGTTTGCATCCAATCATATCTACATACATTAATACTGCCTACTTCAGTGTTGCTAAGCAACTTTTATAATTGCCATGACATTGCATAAAGAATAAAGAATCTCAGTTTGTCTGTCTGGTTTACTGAGAGATTTCCACAGCTGACATTAGTTAGTACATGTTATTGTTATGATTGGTAATTGGTAGTTTTTCAATTTTATTGTCACTAATTCCTATTTATAGTCTGCAAATGACTCACTGGTGCGTCAAAAAATACCTTTTTTACGACTGACATGCTACGAGTTTTTAATCTAAGTATGTGCTGTCTGTAGTCTTAACAAATCGTTCTTCAACCTGTCCTATCTTCTTTTCCTTCATTTTCATTTCCCCTAAATAAATGAAGAGTATTGATTCATTTGAGTGACTTAAAAGCTACAAAACTCATGTCTGACAATTTCTCAAACCTACACGAGCTGCATACATTCTGTATCTTCATATTTAATACATACACTGCTTGGTCATATCTGGATTAATCTGTTCGGAGGCCGTGGAACAAAAATAAACTGCTGAGCCCTCATTATCTCCTCCATTCCCGGTGATAGAATATTACCCCTGCTGCAGGTTTACTGTGCGGTAAAATGATTAAACACAAACCAATTTAGAAATATGCACCTGGTAAGTAAAGCCCGCTGAAATAATGTAGGTCTCATAACGAGATCTTGGCACTGGGACTTGCTCTTGAAAATAGACTCTCAAGAATACACGATAAAGCAGGACCCACCTTTAGGTCTCTATCATGTCAAGCTTTCTCTGTTACAAGTAATGAAAGTCCCATGAACCAATCGCTATGCAGTAAACGTATGTTTTTTGGGGGACTCATCCCAGTTTGTAATTCAGCCTCATGCACGGTGTATTCAAACCCAAGACGCTATTATTGTATGGCTGCACTGATAAATCAAATGGATCATGTTAGGTGTCTCTTGCACATTTTAGTTGTGGTTGGAAACAAGGATTTTAAATATCATTCGCAATGTTTGAGCAAAGCTCAGCTGCATAAAGCCTGCTTGTACGGATGGTCGTATTCTGCTCCAGCTTAACATCGTTATGGAATCATCAAAGCAACCTAAAATCAGGTGGTGCTTGCTTACTTTATTTATATGATTTGCAGTATACATTTCAAGACCAGTTATGTCATAGGAGGTTGCAGCGTTCTTCATTCAATGTCCCCAAATCAGTCACTGTGAAGCAAGCAGCAGTTAGTGGCTCAAGATGAAGCTGAAGGGGAATCCTCTGCAGAGGAGGAGATGCAACATCGGCCTTCCATTCTTCCTCCGCTGTTTAAGTAGCAAGCATGTGACGACAAAAATAAGATCACAGAAAGGTTTCAGAGGCTACCATGGAGAACTGCACACTCACAATGACTTAGTTGTCCTTATGGACTCCTCAGCATTGTGTGGAACTTCCTTCTTCCCTCGCAAATATCACTCTGCTTGTATTGACAGCAACAGTACTGCCGTTTCATTTTTTTTTTTTTTTTAAATATCTTTTGAAAAGAACCCACGGTCATCCCTTGTGTTTCCACTGACAGCATGTGGGATATTTTCCAGCTGCATGAATAGAAAGCCTTGGTGAGGAGGCATTGAGGGTTTTTTTTTGACAGAGCAGGAGCGTCCTCCAACACGGTAGCTGGCTCCAGTCTGCCACTGCGTGTTCTTTATCAGGGGAGACCTTGATCACACAAAGCGTGGGTGAAACAGACACGCTGCAAAAATGTCTCCAGAAACCCGGCTAATTTCAGTGGAATCTCACTAGTTTCAAGGACTTTCTTTAGTCAAATTGAAACAGTGGGCTTTTAGTGGTTTCATAACATAGGTGCTCGTAAATAGTCATTCCTTTTCTTTTATCTCTCGTAAATTCACCACCACATATCTTCAATCTACAGGAGGTGAAAAAGCATCTTGCCTCGTTAATTTGATGTTGCACCAGGACGTAATGCAAGGCCGATCAATCAGAAGTTTAACATGATGAGATTTCAAAGAAATAAAAGAGTTTTATTTGCCTGGGAGTTTTATTCTCACGCGTTCGACAAAAGCATCAGCTCCCTGCGGTTCTCCAGGAGGGAGAAAACATTGTTCTTGTTTTTTTTGGGATATAAAAACTTAAAGATATTGTGACTACAGAGTTTACTGTTGTGTGAACAAATTAGCAAACAACTTTGAAAAAGTTATTTTTCATTTCATGGTGACTTTAAGGTCAGCTGAAGGATTACACACGCCTCTATAAGGTTGAACAAACCCTTCCGCTCTTAAAGCCCTGATTTGAATAAAGTATTAAACATGGCGGTCAAGCTACCAACAAGGCCGTGTAATATGGCACGCAAAATAACAAATCCTCAAATGCAATGCAAACGTAATATCCGACACATACAGTCTCTACATTCAGGAGATGGAGTTGTCAGGGCTGTGAGTGAGTGGCGGTGTTGATGTGCTCTTTCCTCCAAGTAATCCTCAGGATTTCATAAAGGTCCGGACGGTCCAGTTGCCGGTTCATCCGGGCTTAAGCCATCCATCAGTGTCAGATGGAAAACAAAACCCCGGCTTCTCACGCTCCTCCTCACGTCTGTCTTCTACAGCTCTGTTATCCGGCGACAGCTTGCCGAGTATGGATGTTTCCTCCCCGAGCAACCACTTTCTACTTGCTGTTATGCACACCGTATGGCCAAAAGCCCGAAGACGGTGCTGTCCACTGTCCCCGATTATCTGGTGCTGTTTCTCAAGGTAAAGCTAGGCCTCTAAGTTAACCAAACATTCTACTTAAAGGGCCAGTTTTTAGGATTTAGGGGCATTTTATTGGCCGAAATGGAATTTAATCGTCATAACTGTGTCATTAGTGTGTAATCACCTGAAACCAAGAATTGTGTTTTCGTTACCACCGTAAGACCACAATAGTTCTCCCACACGCTTGTGAATACCCCTCCCCTCACCCATCCCTTTGTGCAAAATACGAGGGGTCTAGGGGGGTCCGAGACAGCACCCCTCTGATTGAAAGGAGTAATCAGGTTTGCCGTAGCACTTAACAAAGTGCAGCTGAGGCTAAAGTGAAAGTCATTCGATTTTGCAGATATTTGGTCATAAACAAAAGTATTGGACAAATACGACCAGCCAATAAACACACAATGCCTTTAAAAACGCTGTAAACACGGCTCAGAAAACGTGGAAGTACCAATAACAGCTCGCCGATATAAATCTCAGTGCTCTATTATTGTAATAATTCAACAGTCACTTCTATCTTTGTTTGACATCACGAGTTCTGCAGTAAACACACTCGATGCACATGATGCAACCACAACGGTACGCGGTGGCATTTTGGCTTGAACCGGTCAGCGATATCAGGGCCGAGGTTTATCACACAACGCCCTCTCCCTGCCTTTATCACTCCCTTTCGCAAAGGGCAAATAAAGGTTGGGTATTTGATAAAATAAATCATCACGGGCTGTTTACTTTAAGCACGGTCCACCCCGGGGGAGGCAGAGCCATGCATTCTCCCTCAATTCAGCCATATAACACCGAGCCCTCTTTTGCAGCGGCTAATAAAGGTGAGCTGGCTGGGGATTGTATATGCAATCTTGTATTTCAGTGAATGAAATTTGCTGTACTTTGGAGATATTGGACAACACGTAGCTGCAATATTGCCTCCCTCAAATGGGATTGATTTGGGAAGTGTGTTTTTGAATGAACATGTTTTAAAGTATGAAGCCATTTGATAACAGCAATTAGTGCCGTTGCTGCTGTTGTACATTGAAACAGCAACAAGGAATTCTAAATGTTCAACCTGGCGCCTCTCGCGATGTCTCCTCATCACATGCAGGTTGCTTCGACAGGATGAAACATTCGGTATGTGCAAAAGAGGTCAGATTCTGTGTCTGGACATATTTTGTGACAAACGGTGTGAAGATCTTTTATGCAGAGTCTAATGAATATGATGTGAAGTATTGAGCTGCTTTCAGAGTGTCCCACAGGGCTCTTTGCTCGGCCACTAGCCGATCTGACACGTCCTTGCTCTTTTTGCACCGAAATGTCAACTTCTCCCCAGACCCGTTTTATTAGCGCATTTTTAGATGGATAGCTGGCCCTGAGTCTCCACCCCCCCCCCCCACCATTCCCATCCACTCTCCTCCTCACCTCTGGGGCCAATTAGGGCGCTGGAGCCGAAAATAAATGAAATGCGGTGGCAAAACAGCGTTTACTTCAAAACCTTGCACTTAATTTGAAGATCTCTCTCTGATCTGAAGTGGAATTAGCGAGCTGATATTCCCTTTGATCTCGCAGGTTTTTGCATTTGTTGCCAACTTATCGAGCGGAGACTCCAGAGGAACAGTCGGTGCTGAACGTGTTG